ATGGCATATTCTTTTCAGATTATAGCTAGATAGAACAAGCATTTTCACAATGAATTAGTTTTGGAAAAGATAGTAATCTAGTACTACAAATCCTGTAATACCATTATGAATGTATATTTTCCTGCAGGATTTTGCTTTTGGGCTAAGAAAAGGGAACTTGGTCAACCAGATTTTGCTCTCATCATATCATCTATTAAAAATGAAAGCAAGCTATACAACTATCTAGCAACTCTCTGGCTTTCAAGGGTACATGAGCTTGATTCTGCAGTACCAACAACATCACTTTAACCTGATTTAACATACTATTGATAGTCTGAAATATAAGCCTTGGACATGTTCATTTGAATTGTGACAGGAATTTGAGCCTAAAGGTGTCTTTTCTCACAGCTTTAAAGCTGTTCTTCATCTTTGTCAAAACTTGGACATTCTTGTCCACCTGGAAGAGAAGCCAAATCAATTAATCTTCCAGAAAGGTTAATTTGGGGGCTTGCCGGCCCATATCTCCTCCAGAAATAGCAATGATCACTTTAACATCCCAGACCAATGGAGTTTCTGTACTGCTCCAGTCATTATAGACTATAAATCTGTATTTTCACAATGGATCTGAATACTTTCAGGTCAGTTTACAACAAGACTTTCAATTTTACCTATTGCATTTTCACTTAATGCTCAATCATGTAAGACTGAAGACTCAGAAATTTCCTTTATGGCAATAGGGAAAAAAAAAATGTATTTCAGTTAGATATAGAGTGCATATAACTACTTGATTTATTGCTGTTTTATTTTAAAACTACCATCAAAATAATGCAGTGGGGAAAATATCTATAAAAGACTGCTGAAATTTGTTTATGCTTGTCTGGCTACTGCATAAATCTGTTTTGCTCTGATCTGGTTAGTGCAGGGAGTGCTCTGGTGGTCCACAGGAGACTACCTCCTGAAAATCCTCCAAAGGATTTTCAAATGAACAAAGCATGCAGGATTTAACTCTCTACCAAAGAATAGCCTGTTATGCATCTTAGAGGAAGATTTACTGTCAAATAATATTTGACTATGAAACACACATGCAGACGTAGGCACATAACAACAAGAAAATCTTTGGGGCAAAAAGTTTTGTTTCTAGCCTAAAAAAAATCTGACAATAATTGATCTGCCAAGAATATGTGATAATTACCGGAATGAGCAAAAATTCAGAACGCACAGGTTCTTGCAAAGTCAATGATCCCAGTTTAGTCTGTTAGAGGAATAGAACCACCGCAAGAACAGGAAGAAGATGAGAAGATTATTTAAAAAAAAAATGAGAGTTTGGATCTCCAATTATCATCTGGTCTCACCCCTTACTGGAGACTTTTTTTGTTATGCTTTTTTAGGTTTTATTTTGGCACTAGCCTTGAACCTCTACTTTCCATTTTTAGTGGGGAAATGGGGATAGGGAAATATCTCTAGAAATTGCAATATAAAGGCAATATCCTTAACTAAGTATGCATAATATGCAGAATGCGTACCTTAACAAATATAGTAGAATTGCATTCCTGTAAAGCCTCCATTAAACTAATCACATGCAGACACACCATTTCTACCATCTGAAAAACAAAAATAAAATAAAATAAATATTCAGCATTACAGTGTTATAAGCCAATAATCCCTAAAAAAAATCCTGCAGTTGCTTGGCAGTTATACTGGAGCCTTAGATGTGTATTTATTAACCACTGACATATGATATTAAATATTACATGAATACATAAGGCACATTTTTCTTTATTTAGTTATCCCCTGATGCAGCAATACCTTTCTGTTAAATGTTTCACAGTGCTTGATGGATTTTAATTCCTATGACATCAAAACAAGTTGTCTTCAGCTTCCTTCTTTGCAGACATCATAAATCCTTCTACATGGCTTTGCTAGGTACTTCTCATCAATCAATGTGTCACAAAATGATATTTTTATTTACTGAATCCTTTGAAAAATTAACATGGTCACAAAACTCTTCTTTTGCTCCCCACCAAAAGAAAATTTATTGTTCTGAACTGGCAGCAAGTCCATGAATAAATACTTCTTCAGTTTTATACAATGAATTATGGCAGATGCAAACACCAGTTACTTGCAAGCAAAGACCATTTTATATTTTATATGATGTAAATGCACAGGTATAACAGCACATATACCCTAAGCCAGCGGTGACTCTTTACTGTTCTGGTTTAAACTATGTGCAAATTCCCCTTGATAATAATAAACGTAGCTTTTATGTAGCACTTTTCATCTTCAAAGTGCTTTACAAATACTAATTAAACTCCATAACACCTCTGTGAAATGGAGAAGTATTATTATCTGCATTTCACAGAGCAGTAGCTGAGGCAGAGAGTTTAATAAGTTGCACTGAAGATACATAATGAGAAACTTTTAGAATAGGATTAGAACTTGAGATTTCCAGGTCATATTTTTGTCCCGAGGCCACTGGATGGTTAGAAAAGCCAGGCATAACTTTTCTTCACTCAGTAGGAGCTTCCTGAACCACTATTCATGCTCCCAAGAGTGGCTGGTGAACCCCAGAGAACTCACTAGATGTTAAAGGCTAAAAACCTATTTAAACGCAGGTTTAGATAGCTAAGCTTCTGCTGATATGCAGAAGACAAGAGGGAAAGTAACAGGTTCAAAGTTACCAGCTGCAGCTCATGCAATTATTTTTAACATGTGTGGATAAATGTTTCACATGGGCAACGAGAAATTACAAAAAACAATTACCATATAGAGACTGGGTCTCCATTTAAAACAGGAAAAACGAAGAGCAAACAAAGAGCAAAAGTCCTGACTTAGACGACTGAGTCACATCTTTGAACCTCACATCTGTGATCTTTCTCATCTGAAGCCAATATCAGATTCTACGGAGTCAAAGCTGTGGGCTATCATTTCAGTTAAAGCCAAATATTCCTTAAGGCCCAGTAGTGGTAACAGCCTTGTCATGACCTTCTGGGAAGCAGAAAGCTTTGCTTCTGCAAAGCAGTTGCCCATGAGAAACAAGTTCTCAATCCTAAGCCTGCAAGCAGAAAGAATCATTAGTCAATGGGAAGCAAAGGTAGCAGCTGTGCGAAGGCTTCTGGCAAACTGCTGCTCCTTATTGTACAAAGCTGCTCCAGCAACACTGAGCAGGTGAAAAATGGATACTCAAAAGTTTATTTCCAAAATTAGCCTAGACAACTTCTGAATGGAATGAACGTTTCCCTTTCAAAACTTATCTCCATACATACGCCCTTGAAAACATTCATTACTCTTTTTTTTTTTCCAGAAAGATTTACATGACTCATTTTTGATGGGTAACCAATGGGTTATGAACAGTCAATACTCAGCTTTGTGTGTTTTTTACTGAACAGGAATGCATCCTGTGGTAAAAAAAAAAAAAAAAGGTTCAGATGGCTATTCACTGAAATATGTCAAAACATTTAGTTGCTCCTGTAGGCAGAAAAAGAGAAACAAGAAGCTTTTTTCTGAAGAACTGAAATAGATTTAAAATGAGACCGGAAGCCGGAAGTCCCTACACCAAAAGCAATGGCTCTAGCTCTAGAACACCAAACACCAAATTCAGGCAGTGCAAGGTTGAAACACAACTAATTAGCTTTTCCTTGAATTTCTCAAAAGCATGAAAGTTGCTTTATAAAGTTATTCATTGTGTACTCCATTTAAACATTAAACTCAGAGGGCTTGGTTTTATTTCAGTCCTTATTAATTCTGTACAGAGCATGCGACTCACCACTTTGTTGTGTGCCATTAACTGAAGGATACTAGGTGTCACTCGGCTCCAGAACTCCAGTGCTGTAAGGATTGCTGTAAAACTGAATTCATTCTGATTCTGAACTGTTGGAGCTACTGCTGTTTGTTCACAATACACTGTCCAGAGCTGGGCAAATATAAAAGCATGGAAGAGGGAACACATGTGCAGAACAGATGTCTGTAAAATTAGAAAAGAGAAGAAAATGTCTCACACAAGTAAGTGTACGGGAGTACAGTGCACTCTTCTGCTAAGACTGGCTTTGAACAAAGAATTCCTCCCTAATGTACCCCCATTGTACAATCTTGCCCCTCATTTTCCAAAATGCTTTGCTCCCATTATGAAATAGTAAATCAGACATATCCACTAACATCTTTTCCATGCTCAAAACCTGTTTTCATATTTACAGACCAAAAACTGCATTTGGTAATCCAAACTCTCATGTAATCACATTAAGGTTAGTCCCTTTAAAGAAAAGGTTAGCTTCACAAAACAGCTTCTCCTCAGGAACTAGTGCTGAGACTTCCTTGATTGAAAACTCGCACTGCAGCCTGTAGAAGACCAGGAGGCTCTGTCATGTATGACTTCATTTCAAACAAGGTTTAAAACTCCTTTGAAGTTAAATCTCCCATAAGATCTTCAGACAAATTGCTTAGTACAAACTAGATATGTAGTCAGCAAGGTGAATTGGAAACTGGCTGAACTATTGGGCTCAGAGGATTGTGATCAGCAGCATTAAGTCTAGCTGCAGGCCTGTCGCTCATCGGGTACCACAGGAGTCAATAGTGGGATCAGCAGCACTTCACACCTTCATAATGACCTGGATGACGACCCCAAATTCACAATCTGTGCAGGTGATACAGAACTGGGAGGAGTGGCTGATGCAACAGAGGATGCGTTGCATTCAGAGGGTCTCTGAGAGGCAGCAAAAATGGCCAGGAACTTCAAGTCCTGGCCCTTGGGAGGAATAACCCCATGCACCTGTACAGAGGAGGCGCTGAACACCTAGTAGGAACTTAAAATACATTATCTTACATTCATTCTTTTCATTTTTCAGCCATTACTCAGTCACAAGTCAGAGATGTCTTCTCAATTTCAAAGTGCAACTGTGAATCATACTCTATGGTAGTGCAATTGCACCAAACATTGCAATGGTTGCTTGGTAACTAGAAAGAGGTATTTAGAACGGAAAAAAAAAAAAAAAAAAGCCCAGAAGATAAAAATGGGTAGCACGAGTCCTGGCTGGGAGAGGAGGATGAAAGGGGCATTCTAAGTACTGGACAAATATATAGTCATTCTGCTTCCATATTAAATAAAGCCCTGGTTATCATCAGGGTGAGATATATACATATATGTAGCTGTGTTGAATTACTGTTACAAATACCTTGTAATTTGCAATAATTTTCCTTGCCCAAAGTACCTTCAGAAAAAAAAAAGGCTTAAACAATCACTGCAATGTTACTTTTTCTCATGAAGAAGTAAATATTCCAATATTGGCCTGCTTTAATCTGGTAGGATCTCTTAAAACATAAAAAACCCTAACGGCTCAACTTCTAAAAAGCATTTTACTGGTTTTGGATTACTTTAGAAACACATTCTTGGGGCTACTGTGTTGGAAACATTAGCAATTTTAAGCAGGACATTAGCTTACATTTGTTTACACCAAAACATTGGATTGTTTTGGTAATACTGAAGTTAAAAAATTCACATCCAAATAATTTACAGACTGGTAATCAATGTTTTCAATAATTAGGTCAACATATATGTCACATCTCCTCTTAAAAGATGGAATCCCTTACCTTTGATTGCTCTGGAAACCCAATCAGAATAACAATAAGGTGGTCTGCAATTTGTGAGCCTGCATCCAGGGGAATAGGCATGCAAGATGATGGAGAATTTGGACAGACAACATTGTGTGTCAAAGACCCCAGGAGCAGCCACGACAGCAAACGAATATGTGAGACACATTCTATGAACTCTTTGGGCCTGTTAAGAAAGAAGATGTTTTATAATCTGTTAAATTTTTGTTTTTCCACAAAACTGGAAGTCTCTTTAAACGTACTTTGAAGGTGCTGTCTCAGTGCACTGGAGGCATGAAGGAGTGATACAGATAGCAGCAAGACTAGAACTACACTGAACTTCAGGGACATGACATGCCAAAAACAAGTCTAACAGAACATATTTAGTGTGCCTAAGAAACATCCTTTTTCCATGGGCAAATCATTCAGAGGCTCAGAACTTCCACATTCAGGTTTTTTGAAGCTATTTTGGGGGTTTTTCTGTTTGTTTGTTTTACACAGAAATAATCAAACAGAAAGGCTTATGCAAGTGGAGCTACTCCTCTTAGCTCCTGTGGATAGCACACAGTTTACAAGGCTTGTCATGAAACTTCTTATGCCACTGATAGCTCTGAGGCAGGCTCCCTGAGCTATTTTTGCTCAGTGTTCCACCTCTCCATCAGGAAAATGGAGTTAATTTCTCTTTTCCTTAGCCTGTCTTTGGACATTTGGACTGCATGCTTGTGAGGGTGAGGTGGGGACTGTTCTTTTTTGGGACACTTAAGTATAAAGTCACCATCGAGTGCAATGTTTAATTTCAAATCAATTTGCTTATTTAATCTGAAAAAGAATAATACTTCTCTGGAATCACCTCCCCTATTCCCTTGCTGTTACCAACATCAGATAACTTAGTCGTTTTAATTCGTAGATAGAGGACAAAAATATTTTAGATCAAGAAACCACTATTGGGCCCCACAAGTCTGGAACAATGTTCCTGGGACAGGAATACAGATGTGTTGAAACAAAGTCCAGTGCTCTATACTCAAAATATCCCTCTGTTTGTTAACACTGTGAGAGAGGGGACAGTATCTTGTCCTTCTGTTTCAATGTAAAACAATTCAGTTTAGGATTTTTTGCAGTGGAAAAGAGTTAAAAGCATATATTCAAGAGTGGGATTTCTCTTATCTGACTTAAACCAGGTGAAGTCAGTATTATTATGATCACAAACTTAAAAGCTCTTATTTATGCTTGGTAATTTCATTGGGCATTTTCACTGTGTTTTCACTGTCCCACTATGTTCTTTATAATTCCAGGCCTAAGCACTTGGCTTTGCTTTCACTGGCTGTATCTACAATAAAGTTAATTTCCACTGTAGATGTGCTGATCCACAATCAGCTCTTTTCTACAATTCAAGTCAACAGAGTTAACTCCCAGGTCCCTTTAACCTCCACCTAAGTGAGGCTCTGATTAACTCCTCAGGCAACTGGGATCTGTCAACCAGCTGTTTCAATGTCCCACTGCCACCACTCCCAAGTATAGGTTCTATCTCAGCAATGTGGCAATGAATGCAGAACTCTGAAGATCTGCAGCTCATTCTAGGATTCCTTTTGGTGGAAAGGTGTTCTTACCCTTGTTGCATTGCAGAAGGAGGATGGTACAGCCAAGGCAAATATCGTATCACAGCTTTGTTGTCTCTGTGGTTTCCTCGTGTAATTTCCATAGCAGCAAGCTGAGCTAAACCAACTTTCAGATGCCCACCAAACGTGTCTTCATGCAGTGGCTGTGAACACGTCTTCATGTGACTCTGCAAAGCAAAGATCTGATTGTTTAACCAGAAGACTATGTCATTAGGTCTAACTTCTACCAAGCATCAGTGTAGTCTATTACCATTCAAACCCTTTTTCAGAGTGTCTAATTCTATTTATGAAGCTGTGGAACAAAAATCAGAAATAGAGTAAAAACTTCTCCAGTACCGATATCCGTAATAGCATTAGGAGACACCCTTTCCATGGAGGATCATATTTTCAAGGGCCAACACAAGAGAACTGTGCAAAATGTACATGTACTGTTTGCATCAGCAAGCTCAACACCTGCTGAAAACAAACAATGGTTTCACATCGAGACAGTTTAACTGAAGATCAGGGAATCTAACCATTCAATAAGGCAGCACTGGGTATGAAATGCCTTCCCCGTGCAAGATTCATTTACATATAGAGAAATAAGCATCACCCATTCACCCGAGATATGACTATTTTGCACTATTCATGCTACACAAGTGCATTTAAGTCCTAAAAATATAAGAACTACCAAGGCACCTAAAATATTTATAGCTTGCAAGACAATTGATTATCCTGTTTTTCCAACTCTCAGAACCATTTCATGGGTGCTTCTTGACATATTTCTATTTTTGTAGTTGAGCTAGCTGCATTATCTTGTGTTACAAGAGGAAGGGAACACATGCTGAGTGCATGTGCTTGCTTAAGGGAAAGCCATATGCTTTGCACAAGAAAATCCAGGTCATCAATTATTAAATTATTATAACGTGTCATAAACCAGTGAACGTATAATATTTTACAGCAGAAAAGTATCTGGCCCTGGCAAATGGTACTATCAAAATCGCTTATTTGAAGTCTCTTTCAAGAGGAAAAAAAATGTATATATATATACACACACATATACATATATCAATATGAATATCACCTAGTCACCTGGCTATAGAGAGGCAACAAGGATAGGCAAGCAGACAAACAAACAATAAAACTTTGCTGAGCTTTCAAAAATTAAAATGTTGTTTCAAAGGGGGAAAACATAATGACCCCAAGAGGAACAAAGTAGAAAGTGATTGTCTTGAGGAGCAAAATAACATGAAGTCATTTGACAACATTTTTCTAATTTTTTATTCTTTCCTCTATGAAAAATCACTCAAAATTTGAAAACCAAGATGAAAGTTTTGCTGTAGGATTGTTACTGGTCATATAAGTCATAGGATATTCTTCTCAATTTGCCAGTTCAGACACTGTTGTTAGTATTTGCAATAAGACATTATACAACTGGATAAACCTAAGATTCCCTTTTTTGGAACACCTGTGTTAATAAAACATAGACATTAAGTAATTATATTAAATCAACATAAAAGTATATGAGTCTAGATGTTGTAAATTTGTTTGAAATTCCAACTATTTGTGAAGTTTTTACTTAGAGATGATGGTAGTATTTTCCCAACTACTTTGAAGCCACAGAATTAATTTATTTCAAGATATCTAGTAAAATGCAAAACAAAAGGCTAAGATTTCTCAAGTCGTAACAGTCTTAGCGAACAGTCTGCCTTTTCATTTTGCAAAGACAATCAAGACTTACTTTTCACAATACATAAAACTATATTCATTTGGACTCTCCTACAATGCTCATCTCTTCCTTGTCAGATTCCTGTATTATATGTCTAAATCAAAACCATGTAAATTTTGGATCAGTTCAATTCTGATTCAATTTTAAATGCATCAACCTACTCATTTTGGAAGCTTGATGTCTAATTTTGACGTATGAAAGAGAAGAACCAGGACAAGTTTTAGTTTGTGTCTTAGCTCTATCCATGAGTAAAAATGTAATGAAGATCAGAAACTACCATCTGATTAGACTTAAGCACTGTAAAAGAATTTATAAAAATCAGACTATAATTCAGTTCAAAGGAGAAAGGGCAAGCATAAAAAGTTTGAATGGCAGAGAGCTTTCTACAAAAACATTTTATGTGGGAGAGAAGACACCTGCAAGTATTTACAAATAAAATTTCCCCCATTTCTGTTTTCAGTCAAATGTGTGTTTTTCTATGGAACTGGCAAACCAGATGTCTCTCTCATTTATGATTCATGTGCCAAACTATTTTGAAAATGATTCTGAAATGAAAAAGAAATGGGTGGATAACTTTAAAGGATAGAGTGGGAAGGGAAATTCAATTCAGCTGAAAATGATTAATTAGTTCATGCTTTGAACTAAATTTCTACCCCAGTACAAAAGGCTGCTTCCCTTCTTGGAGAGTTTTTGGGGTTTTGTTGTTGTTGTTGTTGGTTGGTTTGTTTCTTTTTTAACTCAACGGGATTCAAGACAAATGGCCAAAGGATATGAACAATGGAAGGACATCTTTTGCAGTGAAACTGTTACTTCAAGTTTCCAGTTTAGCGGGGATTCTTCCTCCTGTGTGATAAGCATCATTGCCTTGCAATAGAGTCCCCACTGAGAGGAGGGACATAGGGGCTGAAGCAAGGGGGTTTGTGTCAGATAATCACGTAAGGTAAAAGCTCTGATTTAATTAGTTCATAAATAAGCTAGAGCATCCAAACTCACTACAGATTGTAATTTACTCTCTCTTGCCCATGACAGAAGGTAAGGAATTCATCTACGGCATGATCCGATGCATGGCCACTAACTTTCAGACTGGTACAATACAAGAGGTGCCCTTCTGCGGAAAAAGCATACCCATTTCTCAGGAAAAGAGACCTAAATATCCTTTATTAGCAGATGCATACTGTGTTAGACAATAGCAGTAGCTCTACAGGTTAGGATCAAATGTGAGAGCTTGGTCAAAGAACTCCCCTAGAAGACCATGCACGTCAAACCCCAAGCATGAAAGTGATGGCAATATGATTCTTTCTAGCTAGAACTGAAGAAGGTTTTTTCCTCTCTATCTGTGAGCTGAACGTTAGATCACATACATGAAACTTGGCAGCCATTTGACTGTGCCCAGTGATGAAATGACCTCTCTTTCAACTGATGAACTTCCCCTTCAACCACCAAATTCCTTTGTTTACAAACACCAAAACTTGTTGCCAGATTTTAGAGCTGGCATCTTTGACAAACTCTCTTCTGTATTTGGAAAGGTCCCTTTGCTGCACTCCTAAACCATCAGTTTGTCTTGCTAGCTCTGCAGAAGTTAGAAGAATCAAAGCCTGTTTACATCTTCTACTTTCCTTTTATGTGCTGATTAAAATCTGCCCTTGTGCAGACTGCCAGCATGCAGAGCAAAAGGCTAAAGGCCCAACTTTGGTTGACACTGAGAAATGAAGGATGGTTCTGCTATTAGACAGGTGTTTTCCCTCTACACAAGGAGGACCCTAACTAGTCCTCTGCAGTTTCATGTTCAGCTCATTCTTTAGCGTGAATCCTCAGGTTCAGATGATATGCCGAAACTACCTAATGAAACATGGTTATTCTAAATAACGTAAAAACATTGCTCCCTACACAACATTATTTCAGCTGATACACTAATAGCTGTCCGTCAAATTACAGTAGTTCTTTATTTAAGCTATTAACAATAGATGAGACTTCATTTGTGATTCAAACTGCTCCTTTTCTAGTTCAAGCTATTTCCTGTTATACTGCAGCAATATGATTTGACATAACTCATTTCTAAACATCTTCCTTCAAGACTTTTCATTTTGTTGTTCATTTCGTTAAAGTTAGGACATACGCGGTTCCTCGTCAAATAGAAATTCCAAATTTTGACCAGGTAATTATTACTTAATGTTCTCATGAAATTTATTCCTAAACATTTTATGTTGACAGATTTTTTTTTTTTTATCAATCCTCTTAATTCTTGCCCTTTGGCATCAAACTAATATTCAAGAAAAAAACAGTTTCATTTTTGAAGAAGCACTCAAAAAGCAGTTTGGACTACAGAGATAACTACCAGTCAGTTTTCCCTACCTCAAGAGAATGTATTGTGAGAAAGAAAAGAGCAGCATCTGTAACAAAAAGAACTAATCTGTCAATTATTTCATTTTAATACTCTGAACTTCTGTCTGAAACAGAGAATGTCTTGGTGGGTACGTAACAGATGCAGAATTTCTCCAGAAGGTTGGAATTTGCACACCGGTAAGGAATTTTGTGCTTGGATGGGTTATTTTTAACATGACTACTTCTCATATAATGATTTTGGTATGACATTATCTTATCATCAATCTGCACGTTGCATAAAAAGCAAGCCTGCATTTTTATTCTGTGCTCCCCATATTCAAATTAGCCTCCATTTCAACACTGCACAAGCTACATTTTGCCTATTCCTGAGAAGCAACAAATCTGTAACAGTACTAACCTAAAAAAAAAATAAAAACAACAAAAACACCCCACACATTGTCAGCCATTCTCAAAATTTCCAAAGGATTATTCCAAGGAGATTAATTACAGAAAATACTAAATGTATGCCCATAACTAACCTTTAATTTGGTTAAGGTATGCATATCTGCAATGAAATCCAGCACTTCCCCAACATATTGCCTCATGCATTCCATTGCTGCTGTTCCACACTACAACACAAAAAGAAACATGTTTAATCACTGGATTTTGCATATATTCATGTTTTCATCTTTGTTTCCTATCCATGAGAATGCTGTTCCTTGTCTGTCTCAAATTATTTACTGTCTGCTCTAAATAGGAGTCTGTATCCTTGTATCATGTTCCTCTCAGTGATTTGTCTTCCTATCTGATGACAGTATATAAAAACTAAAAATAAAACAGTCACACTAGCTGCATCATATATTATGAAATATTCTCATATGATATAATGATAAAAGAATATCTGATGAAATGTGTAATAATATCCTTAACAAGTATCTCCTATAATTTATACTGGTCCAGAGTCAAAGCTTTTTTTAAAGACAATGAGAGTTCACCAGCTCATTTCCTTAAGCACCTGAGCATTTCTGTGAGTGAAACCAATTAGTTACAATCCTGTAAAACAAAACTAAGTAATATACACAGATGCCCTTATGTTCAGATGATTCGTGATGGAAAAACAGTTTAAGTGATTGTTTTCATGTATATTACTAATGAAAAACATTTATATTTTTAAGCATAACTTCTGTTCTTAACTAAAAAAAGATTCTGTGATTCCTAAGCAACCATTCCAAATCTTAAAGTCAATCTTAATTGCAACGGGTTAGTTGCAATTATCAAATGATAAAGGCAGCATTTGAATGATTCTTACTAAAATTATTTTCACTACCCCAATTTTAAAGGTAAACCTTCTATGGTCACACAGGCAAATAGGCACAATAAAAATGCAACTTTTTTCCTTTAAATACATTTAAATCTGAAAAACTACATCACACGATTAAACCTTATGCCATTCTACATGCTGATAAAAGGCTATAAAAGACAAATGAAATCCTCCTATATCCCTTCATGAACAGCTCCACTTTCACCATAATGGTGTAAGTACTAAGAAATTATTCATGTCCAAACAAGATTGACCCGAATGGGAAAACAAAAGGACTGAACAAAAGCATAGTGCATGTTGTGTTTTTTTGCTGTAAAAAAAAAATCATAGTCCCTTTCCCTTTCCTGGAGCACAGTGAGAAATGCCGGCTGAACCTTTGGCTAGTACAAGGCATGCCCAGGGTATGCAAGGCCATCAATGGAACAAGACTATCACATTAGATAGAGGCTTCCAACAAAGCAGAAAGCCCCACAGAAAACATTTCAGAAGGAGATATGAATGATCAAATAGGTATCATATAACCTTGCATTTATATGTTAATAATCTGAGGTGAACTAATTCTAGCTGAATTCAGGGGGAATTATGAATGCTGAACATTTCTCAAAGATCAAGTCTTTAATAATACCTCATTTTCTGGGGCCAAGTAAAAACAAGGCTTAATTTTAGAAATTAAATGATGAAATTATCTAATTAGGTATCTTTCTTCTTACAATAGCCAAGAACTTTTGTACTCAAAGTCATAGGTTCATGGCAAAAATATCACAGTAAAGTTTATCAGGGGAAAATTTGCTTCTTTGACTTCCTTAATCACCTACACTTTGAAACCTACTACCCCATCTGAATATACACATGAACAAGATTTTCACAGATTTATTCAGCTTTATTTGAGTTTTAGTGGCTGCAATTTTAAAATCTGCTAGCAGTCTATATTTATGCAACGTGTTTTCATCATTTTTCTACATCAATATAAATCTATATGTTGTTGAACTTCACCACCTTCTGTTTTTCAAAATGCTATTTCTGTCAGTTCCCTTGATGGAATAACAGTAAAATGAGGTCAATGGCAGCCATGCTGGAGTATCCTCCATCCACTTTTTGTGGACTATGCATTCCACACAGGTTTTATAGACAAATTTATAAAACATGTTATGCTCAGACCTCAGAATAATAATGCCGTATTGCCAAAGACTTATGTTCAATCATGTACTCAGTTTCACTTGACCAGCAAGCAACTTCCTTCCCTACAATTTCATCTGAACTGTTCCCTTTCCTATCATACCTTGTAACACCAATGTCAGTCTATCTACTTAAACGAAACACAAATCAAAACATTCCCTTAAGAAGGGGATGTCATTGAAGATATGAGTTAAAAAAAATCATCACAGATTTCAGAAGACCTACAGGAAAAATCCTTTTGGAGTATTCCTAGAATCAACGAGGAAAAAGGTTTCTCACAGCTAACAAAGTAGACTTGGGCTAACTCTCATCCATCTGTTTGGGTACTCAATGAAACGTGCCATCGAACAGCTCAAACGCTCCCCTTGTTTCACTTCTACACATGTTCACTAGCCACATATTCAGCAGCAAAGCAATTATGAGTACTCACAATTTAGCTACATCCATCAGCAGGATATATAGGAATGCCTCATATATCACCAGAAGAAAGCCTGGCATCCCTACTTTAAGCTGACAGCTTTTTGTCAGGATGGAGTCATTTTTTTGAGGCATTCCGTTGGTCTCTTCCCCACATCTGGTCTTCCATAGATCTCTAGCAGAGACTTTGGCTACACTCAGTCATTTGTGCCACATGGTTAATTATTAGTGATAGTAAGGGCAGCAAGACCAACTGAAGAGCTTTTTCAACATTAAAAAAGAAGAAAGAAGTACATCAGCTTCTGCCTGCAATACACCTTGCCAACCAAAGGAGAAATGAAAAGGAATGAAAGTTCAACTGATGCAAAATAAGCTTAATAAAACATATTTTTAAAAATTAAAACCTAAGAGATGAAGTTTGATTCATTACTTACCCCAGGCAGAGAGGCGATCATCTGCTTATGCAAGATTGTTGATTCAGCCAGTTTTGTTCCAGCATCTGCACAAACAAACTAAGAAGAAATTAAAGATGAATTATTTTTAGAGAAACCTCAAGACACTACTAAGTTATTTATGACTTTATTAAGATCACTTGAGATCTTTTCGTGCTTATGTATGTGGCAATTTGCCTTTACAGCCTTCTTAGTTTATAAACAGCCTAGTTTGTTCACTATTATAAAAATGAATTAATTTTAATGAAAAAGAAATTTAATGCGCCTGATTAACCTGTATATACTGTGTGGGAGCAATTTGAAGAATGTTATATAACAGATACTCTATGTGAGTAGAAATACAGAGCTTTGCAATTGTTTGGATATATCAAGTGTTCTTCTTTCATTATAGTGTAAGTCAAAATAGAGGAGAACACCACAACGTGCAGTGTTCTCCACTATGGTACTACATGCCAGGCAATCATAATTTTATCTTTACTTTCAGCATGTAAAAGGGAGTCTTCCTTGCTGATTTCTGTTAGGTGACTGAGTCAAAATGAAGGACAAGCGTTCACCAGTTAAATCCCACCGTCAAAACTGACACGGTCTTAAGGGGCATTTTTTTTTTCATTCTCAAATGAGGAATTTTGGATTGATTAAATTGCAGAGACTAAACTGCCTTGTAATCCTTTGGAGTGGCCTTGGACCAAAGTATGCAGAAAAGTTGTTTTATTCTGTAATTCAGGAAAAAAATCAATCAACAAGCACAGAAGAACACTGTATCAGGCTGCATCACTGCATCTATCACAGAGGTGGATGGTTGCTATATTATTTGGTGGTCATGGCTGGGATTGAGGGATTTAGCCCAGGAGGAATAATAATAATAATAAAAACAAATCTGCTATTTGAAATTAATAATACATTTTTTAAAATCCCCTTTTATCCTCAAAAGAAAAAAAAAAATTATCTTTCCCCGACTCCACTTCTTCCCCTAATATTGAGGGTATAATAATTGTTTTCAGAATTATCCTAACTACTATGTAATCTAATTGTCAGTGTTATTTCTCTGACAGTTGGCAACCAGTTATTTTCTATGAATAATGTACCAGCACTCAAAAGCAAACCAGCCTATAGGTAAGTACTCTGACCCCTTAAGAGGACTGAAGAGATAATGAATGAAACTGTGATGCCGGGAACATTATGAATGATTTACATTTTTGTTTGAACTATTTGGACTTTTGTTATGCTGGTTCCCTATCATTTAAAATTAGTAAATATATGTCATGGTCAGCCTATTGTAAACAATGATAGTCCATCAGGCGTGACTAAAACTGATGGGCTTAGTAAATTGTTTTTGCAAGACAGGCTGTTGTTTTCTGTTTGGTTCCAAACTGTACCACAGCTGGCATTTTGGAGGCAGACAGATTTTTTTCAGAGTTTGAATCTTAAATTTTCAGATTTTCCTCTAAGAAAGCTAGCTTAACTTCTACCTCAGCAAGCTGCAGAACAAAAGAAAAAGTTACTGCCTATGTACTCTTTCCTGGGAAAAACAAAAATCCATACTATGAGAGAGAACTTCAGGGCTGGAGACAACTAACTGCCTTCCTGCCTAGCTGGAAATTGGCTTTTAGCCACAGAATTACCGAAGAGCTGTGGTTGGAAGGGACCTTTATGGATGATCTAGTCCAACTCCCCTGCAGGCAGTGTAACTTAGAGCCAAGGATTGTGTCCAGAAGGCTTTTGATTATTTCCAAGGAAGGAGACTCCACAACCCCCCTGGGTAACCTGTTGCAGTGCTCCATCACCTCACAGTGAAGAACAGAACTTCATGATTGTGCCTGTTGCCTCTTGCCCTACTGCGAGGCACCATTGAAGAGAGCCTCACTCCACCCTCTCTACACCCTCCTTTGGACACTTAGAAACATTGATAAGATTCCTCCCTCCATCCTCTCTGGGAAGAACTGTCTCAGCTCTCCTCATATGAGAGGTGCTCCAGTCCCTTAAGTATTTTAGTAGCCGTCCACTGCACTTCATGATGGGCTCCAGTAGCTCCATGATGAGTTACCACTCCTTCCTACACAAAAACTATTTATTGGATTTGGGGCTACAACAGGGAGACTAGGCATGTTGGTGAGACAGCTCTGCCTTTGGAAGGCATTTTGCAGCCCTGTACTTTAGCAATGGCGCTTGGGTCCTCCTCATCTTTGGAAATGGGTGTTCCCTATTTAACTGCTTAAAATTTATTGTGACAGCACAATCTAAGCACATCTGCTCACAAATGTTACCTCTGGGTTCCAATTCAAAAAAAAAAATCTTGTTTTACTTGACACTGCCAGAGCTTTTTGGAATCATATGGCCATTTTTTGTTTTGTTTTGCTGAATTTAGGCTGAGACAGGATCAGTATGAAAATAACACGAGGTAGATCTCCTGTACCTGCACCAACAGCAGTAGATTCATGTCTGGTAACGGTGACTTTAACTTGAGTGCCTGTAGTAACTCCAAGATGACACTGCGGGTCAGGTAGAATTTATCTCTTTCCTATAACAGGAAAACATGGAAGTAAGAATGCTCTGAAATTCAATGACAACCACTAGTAAAAGATAAGAGACCTTTTATCTAAATTTGAGAATAAAATGTCATAAAAATGTACTTTTTTCTCCTGCCTTTGTCATTTCTTCATGTGATTCTACAGACGTGATCGAGCAGACAGCAGTGAGAATATAACTGTGGTCTTCCTTTCACTTTGCATTAGACACTACTATGAGCTTTTTTGTATTTCTAATGTGAAACATGGATAGGTTTTATTAGACAGTTATAGAGACCTGGCATGGAGGGTATTTCTCACCGAAGAGAGAAATATAAAGGAAAAAGGGGAAAGGACAAAGGCTTCATATAGGAGAATAAACCTGGCAGTAGCATTTAGCATAATTCTGTCTTTAAACTTGCCAGAAAAGCCCCATATTTTATCACACTACTTCCATCGCTGTCCGCCTTAAAATAGGAGGGCCTCCATTACAGCAACTTGGACATCTATTTTCATTCATTAGAGTAGCAGTATTTTTCCCCTTACACAGTAAAAACCCTCCTCAATTCAGTTACCCTCAACCCCCTCCAAAAACAATCAAAAACATATACAGGAAGATAAGGCAACAGAGTATAGAACAGAAAGGCCAAGAACACAGAGTTGTAGAGAAGAAAAAACATTGAGTTGCAAGAGATAAGATGAGCCTGTTATCTGTCTTCCTTTGACATTCTCTGATGTTAGGAGATAAGTACATGGAACAAACCTATAACCTGCTACTGAACATAAAAGCTCAAGAATTTTTCATCAGCAGTTAGGTTTATTCTGAGCTCTCTTTCAATTGACCACCAGAGATGAGAAAGTATTGTCCAGTAGAGAGGGAATATAAAAAGTGTGCCTAAGATTTAAAGCCTACAATCTTCCATCCTGCAAGTTTCACACAGTTGTCTGCTTGCTTGCTTAAATTAAACATATATAACTTTTAACCCAAGCAGGGCGAGCTCCTCCTCAGTTCCTCTGTGACATCTGTAAAATGGGAAAATAATGTTTGCCTCTTCCACACAGAGGTGCGGTGAAGTTTAGTGTTCAGTGTCAGTTTGAAGCCCATGTGCATTTGCACACAATAGTAAGCAGAATTAAAAGAGGATGACTTGGATGAGATAAATAGCTGGAAATAAGCAAAAGCTTTGGTTACAGCAGCCCAAGAAGCCAGTCACAGGTCTTCCTCCTCAGAAAACTAGTGTCAACACATTGTATCTGCGTAGCACACAGCCAAGCAAACCTCACAGGAACAATAAGCAACTCCAACAGCATCCACAAGCATTTTAATGAAAACAGATTTCACATATCAGCCCTTGATTTCAGAGCAGGGGCCAAAATGACAGAATTGGATGCTTTTCATGGGTGGCATGATACTAGTTTGTGAAACGAAGGTCCGAAGTCTGAGTTCAAGCGCCACTTCCAGCTGATTTGAAGCAGAAGTTGGAGTGTGTGGTCTGGTAACACAGTTAGCTGATGGAATAGGTTCCACTCCAGAGCTGAGCTTGTCTGCTACATTGACACAGTCTAGGCAACTAAACTCATAGAAAGCTAATACTCAAAAAAAGAGACTATTCCTTTATGGGAATAACAAATACCAGTTCAGCTGGATCAGTTCAGCTGTATTATGAAACCATGTCTTGAGGGGACAAGTATTCAGAGCCATGTGTCTCGCACAGCATAACTCAAGATTGCCCAGGAGAGGTCAGACCACAAGACGTGCTCAGTAACTTCTCTCCAACAAGGCTGTAAGCAGAATGCCTCGGGAGGAATAAAACCAGGGCAAGCATGTATAATTCCCAGCAGTACACTCATAGTCACCAACTATTTTTAGCTCTGGGAACTTCTGAGGTCAGTATGGTTTCCATGTTCTTCCTAATCGTGGGTGGATTTCCCTTCCAAATATATGGCTGCTGCCCTCTTGAATCCACATCAACTTTCAGTACAGTATTTCGCAATGGGTTTCACGCTGTTTAAAGAACTACTTCTCTTTACCTGCTTTGACCTGAGTTCCTACTAACCTAGTACTTTCTGCCTCTGGCACTGAAAATACACTTCCCTTCACTTGCTTTGATCCTGTTTCCTAACATGATGCTTTCTACTTCTGGTACTGGAAAATTACTCATGTGTAATATGTGCAGACCTATATCACATTCCCTTCAATTAGCTTTTTCAGACTGAAGAGCCCTAATTTAGTTGCTCTTTGCATGGAACTCATTCCACACATTTCTGGAAATGGGGGAACAGAACTATGCACAAAACTCAAGGCACAAACAAGCCCTGCCTCTGCTAGAAAGCATATTGCCCGGTGATAGTGACCCTTCCCACTGTCATGTACCTCCACAATCCAGAGGCCTGTCCATAATTCCTGTCAGTAACATGGTAAGAGCAGACTGCACAGGCTGCAAAAGGAGCAGGCTAAAATTCTTGCTGAAAGCATTCCACTACTTTATAGCTACGCTCTACAAGACAATATTAGGCCATAATAAATTGCTTAGTTTGGGAGTCCATTTTTACATTGTTTAGCACATAGGGAGATGAAGCACAAAATCAGGGTAAATGTTTTTAAGGCATCAGACTGCTTGGTTCCTGGACTGTAAAGAGAAGAGTTGATGTTGAGGTCAATAGCCCAGAGTCCTCTTAGAATCATAGAATCATAGAATGCTTAGGGTTGGAAGGGACCTCTAGAGATCATCTAGTCCAACCCCCCTGCACACGCAGGGTCACCCAGAGCACGTGGCACAGGATTCCATCCAAGCGGGTTTTGAAGATCTCCAGAGAAGGAGACTCCACAACCTCTCTGGGCAGCCTGTTCCAGTGCTCTGTCACCCTCACTGTTAAGAAATTTTTCCTTAAGTTCCTGTGGAACTTTTGGTGCTTCAGTTTCGGGCCATTACCTCTAGTTCTGTCGATGGCCACCACTGAAAAGAGGCCAGCACCATCCTCCTCACTGCC